ATGCTATCACTCTCCTCATCAGCTCCAGAGTAAGGAACGCGTGCTCTGATCCTAATACTGAAGCACAAATTCACGCCAATAGCTTAAACTAGCCAGCTCAAAACAATTTACAGTCAGCAGTAAGTTATTACTGGAAAGCAGCATTACAAAAAGGCAACACTTTATTCAGACCGAGTCTGAAAGTTCTAAATCAAATCCCATACAATCTAGCATGAATGCATAAGGCAGTTATTCCCTCCGTCAACACAGCACGGCAATTCCTGCAGCGATGGCATTTTGACACTTGCAGGTTCTTCCATGGCTACTACAAACCACAGTCTCTGAACACAGCCCACTTGGTCTGAGTGCCACATACCCAGACTGCCATGTAAGGCTTTTGGTACATTTAATTAGGCACCAACCATCAGACAAGAAATTCATTTGAGAGTCACCTGAAGCCCAAATGCTTCTTATTGGCATATGCACCCAACCTCGGAAGATCTCAAGTCCCAGTGTCCTACACAATTAGCTCAATAAATCTCAAGAAGAATTACCATCACTGAGAAACATCTCATGGCGCTGTATAATCAATGGATATATGGATATTATAATTAAGAAGTATACAAGAAAGTTAGGCTAAACAGGTTATCATGCTAAAGAAGAACAGATAGAAAGCTTACCCTTGTCCTGGGCTCGCTAAGAAGACTCCAAGAGGAGCAATCTCCAAAAAGAGATCCTTCCCCAGTGGCAGTCAGCTCCTGAATGGGGAGCAAGGCTCCACCCCTTCCAGTAGCACAGGTGAACTGCCTTCACCTGTGCTCCCAGGGCTGACTCACTGCTCACCTCAGGTGGTCAATCAGAGGTTCAGGCTGTGATTCAGCAGTTCCCATACAAGCATAAATACTATCTTTTGATGTTGTTCCAGGCAAGGTTCAGCAAACACTGTGAATTCTTGCACAGACTTTGCACAAGGCTGGGGCAATGGCCACCTGCCTACCTACCCTGAAGCAGAGGGTGTTTATTCTGAAGCACTGCCAGGCGGGCAGGCCTCACCAGCACCAAAGGATAACAGCTCAGTGAGACTGCACTGCTGACACGACAGTTGTAGCAGCTCCCTTAATGCTAACTCAGAACATAGCCACGACTTTACAGGATAGTCACACCTTCAGGAAATCATGTTCACTGTCCGCTCAGCCATGCACAGCACAATCAGATAACGCTGCTTGCCACCATGCCAGCCAGCTTACAGGAACACAGCTCATGGAAACATCAGGTTTGAGTTACCTACTACTTAATAAAATAATAATAATAATAATTTTAAAAACCCACAACAACAGAACAAAACCAAGCAGGCCTTTAGCCAACGAACATCAAAATAAATAAAACTACACCAGTTTACACAGACCAAAATCTGTCTCCAGTTCTGAGCTGTTATGTACTGGTATTCACACATGGGTGAAGCTTTTTTATTTTTTTATTTTTTGCTCTTTCAGCTCTCACCTCAGTAGTTGGATGATTAGATCCACCAGTAATTTAAAGGCTGATACAGTACCCAGCCATGGGCATCTTTTCAGTCAGCAAGCCACTAGAGAGGGTGCTGAAAGGCCTATTATGAAGGCCAATCACTATCCTTTTCTTGAATGACCACATGAAAATCAGTAACCATTCCACAACACATTGAAAGGACCTTTTGTCTGAAAGAAAAGGACTAGAAGTCACAAAGTATTGCAGATTCATTTGTAACTCATGCCTTTGGGAGAAACTGTATAGCTCCAGTTAAGAGCAAACCAAGAAAAGAATAAGCTTTGAAAATGTTACGTTACAACCCTTTCCTAATGTGGGTATACCAAGTGTATTTTTAGATTAATCTCTCTGTACTCCCAAAGGATGGACAGGCATTCTATATTAGTTGTTTTACAAGATGATTTGAAAATACATACAGAACTTGGACTTTATTCCAAAACCCTATTTAGGGTCTGCAGCACTGTTTGCCTCATCTAAGCGAAAAATCGTTGGAAGCATTTTAAGTACAAAGTCTAAGAAAAGTATAATTGCTCCAGGATAATAACAAAGCATTGTGACTGCTGTTTAACAATCACTTGGTAATAGAGCAAATTTCCTATGGGGACCTCCTCATTGAAAAAGATTTTTTCTAACCGAGAAACCGGGATTTGACTCAACTAATTTTGAAGTCTATTTGTGAAGTCCATCACAAAAACAGGGGTCAGTTATGTCTGATCACTTCTCATGAGTAGGGAAACATTCTCTTCTCCTTCCACTCCAATCGCACTTCAGTTCTGAGGCCTTACATGTAAATGCACGCACGATCCAGATGGAATTCACATAGAATTTCATCATGGAGTTTCAAAACAAGTCTCATACAGACAAACTTTCGGCAGGAAAGACAGTGGAGGCTCATAAGCGAAAACAGATTTCTTCTCAGCCATATATGCAGAACTAGGGGAATTACCATACTTCCACTCAGAACCAAAAGTCCCAGCTGTTAGACCTGCCCTCTTCACCCATCTGTTCCACCCACGTGCTGTGAAATGAAATGGTCAGAAATAATGGTTTTCAGTCCACAGCATTCCAAATTTTCCATTCCTCATTCTCTCACAACCCCTCCTGAAAATAAGCAATATGTTTTGTGCACACTACTGGTGAAGACTGCAGCTGTGAGCTGGATGCAGCCTTCCCTACCACCCTATCAACTCACACCAAGAGAGGAGACAGGCTTTGCTGTGATACCTTATGGCACACCAGAGCCAAAGGCTCGGTTGTGAGAGTCACACACAAACATGCCAAATAGAATAGGTTAGTTGGAAGGATCCTCCCAAGATCATCTAGTCCAACTGTGAAGTATACATACAAAGGAAACAGAAGTCCTGGCGTGCCAAATATACCAGCAATTAAGTACATCATCATTTATCATCCCCAGGATGGCAAACGCAGAGACAGAACAGTCCTGCACTGTCTTCCAGAAGATCGAGGTGCTCAGAATCAAACAGGCGGGAGCTCTGCAGCCCCCTACTAATCTCGGTGAAGTTCAGGGTCAAGTTATTTGATATAACAACCCTTCCAAATAACTATGAGCAGGAAGAAGGTGGCGGAACTTCCCAGCAGAAGTCTAGACTAAAACAAAGCCACTTTGCTACTGAAGTTAACCATTTTACATCTTTCCTACAGGAAGGAGAAAACTTAAGGAGAAAATTAGTGAAGCACCTGAGAAAGGCAGAAAGGACAGGAGGGTGGAGAAGCATGAGGATGGGGACAGAACACAAAACCAGGGAGGACGGAGGAGATAACAGCAATAGCTGTGGGAAAGCATATTTCTCCAGATCAGCACAGACAGCAAATCCTTGATGTTATCTGCAAGTTAATTACAATCAACAACTAGTTGTTTTTCTTCCCTTGTTCTCTGTGCAAAGCCTCACTGCCTCCTGATCCTAACAGTTACACACTTTCCTTTTGAAACCCTCCAGTTTACAGTGAGGAGCTTGGCCTTTCCTGTGGATGCATAGAGCACCACTTCAGACTGTTTTTAGGTGATGCCTGAGCATTTCCTTCTATCCTGGATGACTAACACCATTTAACAGCGTTCAAAGACCTCTAAGACCTGGGCACTGAAAACACACAGTTAAATGCAGGGCCTAGAATGACAACAGAAATAACACATGGGTGAAATGGAACACAAATGCAATGATCTGGGGGAATTAATAGCTGTAACTACCGACAAGGCACGGCTTTGTTAATTCCACTATTGCTACAAGAGAGCTCAAAGAACACGTGAAACTCAGTTCAAGACACTGTAGTCTTGCATTCCCTCTTAAAAACTGACCCAAACCATAGGATTTGTTCCCAGCTACAGATTCTCTTAAAACTTAGAAAACAACAAGTCAGCGATTTGCTACAGCTTTGTTACCATTTCCTTGAATAAAACCAGGAAAGAAAAACTGATCTAGAATGAAAAACAAACCTACTCCAACACAGACTGCACTCGGAGGCATTGCACTGAATGCTTAGGCGCTTTACTAGATGTCAGACAACACAAAGACCCTCACACTCATGCTCCTTCTCCGGGTAAATGAAGTTCAGAACAGCTGCCGTGCTCACGGCTGTGGAAGCAGACCCTTTGGCTAGGAGCAGTCCTGAAAACATTTCAAAGGGTATTTCATTTCCTTCATCTTAATCACAACGCTTGCCTAAGCGGTAAATTTTCCAGAGCAGTGACCTTGCCCTCTTATATGTTTATACAGCACCTGACACAGTATAATCATTATCTCGACTGGCATCTCCTTACATTTAACAGAGCTTGCTGTTCTTCTAAAAGGCCAAATCTCTCCAGCTCCCATACCACAATCTGCTGGAGAACGCTCACCCTAGCAGCAGCATTCAGCTCCAGCAGGCTGAGATGAAGCCTCACAAAGCTCAACCTGTTCCAACCTGGAAACCACTCCATGTTTACACGTTTTGACCACATCCACAGAAACAATGGTGGCTGGGGCGCAGTGCCCTGCTCAGGGCAGCCGGAAAGCTCCATCCAGCTAGTGACATTCAACAGGTCACTGCCCACAGGGCTCCTCTCACAGCCAGCGCAGATCCGTCCCCGGTTAGCCTTGACATTTGGCAAACAACGTTCTTTTCCACTCCATTTGTAAAGTTTTCAGTTTAGTCTCCTTGAATAATTGCATTTTGAAGAAAAGGGAGAAAGATGCTCTATAACATACACAGGGAATTCAGATCAAAAAGTTACCAGAAAAGAATTCCCACAAGAAAAACCACAGTTCCCTCCACGCACAAAAAGCTTTACGCGTTTCGAAGCTAGAATCAACCAAACCGATCCGGGGAACGTGGCCTGCAACGAAACAGAAGGATTACCCGCGGCACCTCTCAGCTCTGCCAGGGAAAGCAGCCCGCTAGTGATTCACACCGCAGGGTGGTGGGGCAGAGGGTGGGGAAGAGGCGTACGCCGCTCGCTTACAGCTCAGCAAAGGCAGCGCCGCACCGCGCCTGAGGTAACACACAGCCAGCCCTCCTGCTACCAGCGAGCCGCGCAACGCGTCGTGCAGGCACGGTAAGGGAGACAGCAGACGTTAAGAATAAACGGCCCTAGCACCTCAGGGCAACGATCGCGGCGCAGGCGAGTAAAAGCCTTCGGCGGCTGTGCAGGGACGGCGGCGAGGGCGCAGCGACCTCCGTCCGTCCGCCGCCGTGTCAGCCCTCACCGCGGCGTTCCCCGGTCCGCGCGGAAGCGCAAAGCAGCGCTACAGAAGCGAACGCGGCGCCGCCTCAGCGCGTTCGGCCGCCAGGCAGCCGGGGCTGCGGCCGGCAGGAGCCGGCGCCGCGCTCCCGGGCGCGGTTTATCACCGACGGCCGGGGCCGCCGCCGAACGGCCCGGAACGGCGCGGCTCCGCTCCGTACACGCCCGCCGGGGCCGCGGGAGGGCGGGCGGCTGCGGGCAGAGCGGGGCCGCGCCGAGCCCCGCCGCGTCCCCGTGCCGCCGACCGAGCGGCCCCAGAGTACCCGCCTCTCCGGCCCGGCGGCAAGAAACTCCGGGCGGCGGGCGGGCCTCCTCGGCGCCGCTCCCGGGTTCCGCCGCGCCGCGCAGGTGCCGGGCGGAGAGCGGGACGCCACCTTACCTCGCTGCGGCCGGGCTGTGCCGGAGAGCGGGACGAAGGGAGAAAGGGATGAAGGCTGCAGGCGGCGGCGACCGCGGGACGCTGCGGTGGCGCGGCGGCTCGTCGGGATACGCCTCGCGCCCCTCCCCGCACGCGCGCGCCGCCCCACGCCCGCCCCGCTAACGGCCGCCGCCCCCGGCAACTGCCGCGCCGCGTTCCCCGGCCCGCGCGCGCCCCTGTGGCACCGCACGTGCACTCCAGGAACGGCGAGCAGAGCCGGCCCCGCTGCCGGCAGCTCGAGCGCTTCTCGCTGAGCGGAGCAGAGCGGAGCGCGCGACGTCAATCAGTGCGGGCGCGTGGCTCTTCCTATCCGCGAGCGCTCCTGGAGAGCATCGGGACGTGAGAGCGTGCATCAACCTTTCAGTTATCGAGGATTTAAAACAGTGCCTAAACGCTCCACAGAAAAGCGGTCTGGATTGTCAGCACAAAGGTGAAGGAGCAGTACGTTACGATCCCCTCGCGGCCAAACACTGGAACGCGCAGGAGCTACGGGAAATCGCAGCAAATTTCCTGTAAACAACTGAATCTGGATTTCCTATCACCATCGGTGTCCCACGCCGCCATTGGCAGTACCCTTAACCCACGCACACAGTAGATCTCATTCGTGCAGGCGTGGAGCTGGGCAGTCCCAGCATGTCTTCCCAGAGCCTTACCTTACCTCCCTCTTGCTGCCCATGGCCAGTGAGCTCCCTGGGCAGTAGCAAAACGGCACCAGAGTGCCTCCCAACACAGCCGGGAGGCAGCGTCAGCCCTCGCTGCTTTCAGCCAACTCCCCAGATTGCAATGTGGAAATGCCACAGGCTGGGATCTCCCTCCCGGCTCTGGTGCCCCAGCAGACCACCCTCGGCCCCTCCTGCCCTACTTGGCTGCAAAGGGTTCTCCCACCTCCTGCAAAAAGTTGGGTGCAAAGCAGATGCTCAGGTGCAGCCAACAAGCTCGGAATTTACATTTCTTTGGAAAGCAAAGTATTTTCAAAATCTTATCTTCAAAAGTATTCAGATCCTTGGTAAACATAGGCTTGTTTTAAACAGCATCATTTTGAACCTCCAGCCTTGCATTTGCACTCCAAGAGTGCTCCTGCTCGCACTGCTGACACCTATCTACTCCCTAAGCTGCATGAATTTTGCCTGGGAGTTCTGGAAACCATTCTGAAGTTCAAGAGAGCAGAGCATTATGTCCATAAATCAAGGATGCTGCCGAACTTCCTGCACGGGAGAACAGATGTGAACCATGGGCCTGAGACTCATCCAAAGGAATGCAGTGGAAACACACAGGATGGAGGCTCTGAGGGCTTTACAAATTGCATTTGGATGGGGGAGAGCAGGGAGAAAGAGAATGTGGGAAAAAGAAAAGTGAAAAAGAATCCTGCTGTTTAGCTCATGCATAAACTGTGTGTGCTCAGCCAAAGGTCACTCCTTTTATTTTCTCATTAATTTCAGTGACAGTGAATGGTATATGAAGAATGACCTAAAAAATGAGAACTGCCAGGAATAGCTCAGGTTTTTCTGCGACAAAGCAGAGGAAGAAAAACCTGTGTGGCAACTTTGCTCTGTATCTTTAGAGTCCTTAAAAAGTAGTGACTGAGAGAAAGTTATTTTAGCTGAACCGTAAGTTTATTTAGGAAAGTTAAAAATTCAGCCATCTACTTTTAACGTATTTGCCAGTAAAGGTTTTATACCCTCTGTGCATTGAAATCACTTAATTCCTAATTTTCTTTTTGTAATCCAAGAAATAGTACTTGTTTCGAGGTTGAGCACTGAGGTACTAAACTCAAGTGAAGGAAAAAAAAGAAAAGGGAAAGGAAGGAACAAAAGCTTTGGGAAGCCCACAGGTGTCCAAAAGCTGGCTGAAGGAAACTGCTCATATGGGCAACCTTGGGGGAACCATCAGGAAAGAGAGGAACTGGCACCTGGTGATGCTTTATAATAAACGCATATTCAAATGCCCTGTGCTGGTTCCAGCAGCTCTGCACCAGACAAAACAGCCCCACTGTGTGCCAAACACAAGGCAGTTGGAGAAGGTTCTGCTGCCTCTGCACGAACACATTTGAGGAGGAGGAGACACGCAGAAGATGCAAGAGACACCAGGACAGGAGGGTCGAGAGCAGGAGAAGCACTGAGGGAAACAAACACCATGCACTGACCTTGCTCTCCCACACTGCCCATTGCCTCATCAGAGGGACTGGGAGTCACATGCTGTGGGGGAACAGAGTGCAGGAAGGGCAGAGGAAAGGTACCTGGAATCGTGTCTACAAGGGAGCATGTGTTTTTCTGTACTAGAATCAGTAATTTAAAGTTTTTAATTGGGACTAAATGAAATCACTTGAAATTCCCCTGGCACACAACCGCTCCTGGCTTGCAACAGGGAGAAACTGATTCAACACAGAAATTTGCAAACAAACTGGTGCAGTCACAGTGGTCTGGCAAAGGATCTAAGGGTGAAGATAGGGAAAACAGCAAATTACATTGCTTGTGTTGTAAGACAGTTGCTAATCTGGGGTATAAAAGAAACATGGCTCTTTTAAGCCCGGAGAAGGGCTGATGATAACATTTTATCCTGGCATTTGTTAACTGCAGTGAAAAACTGCAACGTAAGTGGAAAAAAAAAAGTTCAAAGAGAGGCACCAGAAGCGATGAACAGAGACATATCTTCAGGAGATAGATGTTTATATGCTCAGCTCAGGAGAGCACTGCCAAGCAGTGGAAAGGCAGAAGGTCCTTTCAAGGACCTGTGTGGATCATAGGGAGTGTTATGTGGAGTGACACCATGGAAAGACAAGGAAGATTTATGATAGCTACAGAAAATTCTGACAGTCAGTCAGAAAGGACTAAAAACTATAGAGGCTGCTTTTCTACATGGTATCAGCAGGTAGCTATGTTCAACATTCAGAAGGAAAAAAAAAAAGTATATATATATAAATAGAAAAGCTCCTGCATTTGGATGTGTGAAAGGGAAAAAAAAAACATCTTTTGGCTCCAAAATGTATGGGTCAAATTTAGAAAGGGTAATTCACAAGCCGTAGCTAGTGGCTATTCATTTACTGAGACAAGGCCTGAATTTGATTAAATGGTTATGAGCACGCAGACTGTATGCTATGGAAACAAAAATCTGTTTTGCAGTGAGGTTATTTATATCGCAGATAATTAAAACTGCTGCTCTGAGATCTCACATTTCTCTGAAAATGCAAAGTCCTCAAACGAGAGTGACAGCCGAAGAACAATTTCTAAGAAAGCTTTTTTTCCTTTTAAAAATTGGGAAACAGTCTGTTAAAATCACAGAAACACAAAGGTGAAAAAAGAACCCAACACAACCATTCTCTGCTTCCAGAAACAATGCCACTGTATCTCATGGTGTTGGGGGTTTCAGAGTGAGTGTACTTGAGTGGGGTCGTAAACACTTAAGAATGACTGAAGTTCAAACACAAACAAAAAGAAGCCTTGAGCTCGCTCTGATATAAAATGGGAAAGAAATGAGGGAAGGCTTGGCAAAAATCAGCATAATAGTAGCCTTATTGTTGGATCTGAAAGCTTCATTTTCCAACAGTGTCCCTTTTCTGAGAAGCTGCAGAATCACTCTGAAAGTGCTTTCTATAGGGATGATAAATCTGTGGTGGAGATTTATGCACATTCAGATTAAGTCAGGAAATCAGTCATGAAAAGGATAATTAAATAGCAAAGGACAAAAACCTAGAAGAAAAATTACCAGAACCCCCCAAACAAACACAGCTAACAATGCACTACGATGCACCAGGTCCTGGGATTCTGACTCTGACTTTGGCACCTATTGCTGGAGCAATGCACAGTGAGCAACCTCAGCTTGTTCTTGACTGCGGTTCCCAGGGCTCCAGAGAGAGGCACTCTGCACAGCAGCAATTCAGAGCTGGAGCCGTGTGTGAACAAACCTTGCTCAGTATCTTTGGTCTTTCCTTACTTTTTTGCACTAGGTCTTCATGCATCGTAAAGGTGAAAGCCACAAGAACAGAAGGGGTTCCACAGCTGTATAGGGAATTGTTTGAGACCACAGACTCATACTGTGTTCATATGCTAGATGAGAGCTCTCGAACATTACAGTCTCCATTTTAGAGCAAACAGCTCAGCCTGCCCAGGCACAAATCACCAAGGTGCTGTGAGAGAGCTGGCTCTTTTGACACAGAGGTGTCAGAACACCTTCTCCTTTCAGCTTTACAAGATGTGCAGCAGACTCAGGGCGTTAATGGTAAAGCAAACAAGTTGACTGAAGCAAATTGAGTTAAAAAAAAGCCCTTCTGTTTTGCATCACTGCAATTCCAAAACATGCAAACTCAGAACTGTGTCACAGCCCACTGAGCAAACCACTCTAGCTTTGAAGACATGGTATATAAATACTGAGTTCTGTGAAAACCTCTAATTACGTACCGTGAGTTTTAAATTAATGCATTTATTTATTAAATCCTGTCCTACTTCTCCAAAGTGAATTCAGTCCGGAGTCTGATTGGCCTCACGTGGGAGCTCAGTACAGAAGAAACTAACAGAGACTGAAAAGACAAGGGGAAACAAGGTTTGATCAGTTGACAACAATATATGTAAGCACCATGATCATGACAGAAAATGTCAGCAGTGTGATCCAAAAACAACCAAGATAACTTAAGATTTAATTCAGAATGATGCCAAGCACATATGGAGGAGGCTCAAGCGAAGCTCAACACAGTAGAATACAAATTCCTCCAAAGCAAAAGGAAAGCATTTCCGTGACTCTGAGCACTATGTAAGAGCAAAGCCACTTAACTGCACACATGTACACTATAAAAGTAAAACTTTGGGGTCATTCCTCATGCAAGAGCCCTACTTCACCTAACAGGGTTCACACAGCATTTCTGTAGTCCTGTTACGTGTTCATTATGTAGAAGGTAATGAACACATCCCCTACTTATGACACATCTCATTGTACAAGAATATAATTCTTTATTAATTAAAACGCTTAGACTAACTTCAAAATTTTAGGAGAAAGACACTGTTATTATACTCCAGACTATCTCTCCCTGAAGGATATGTAAGGAGTAAACTCAGACAGACGTACACACTACATCAGCACTTTGTTGCCATTACTGCTGCAGAGATAGCGAGGCAAAGACAGTTTCGTTCCGCCCCATCCTTTCATCTGCCAGCAGAACTGCCAGTCAGCTTCCAAAGTCACAATCCTATTAGATACCAATGTTTGAGGCCAAATTTTGTACTGTCTCATGCAAGCTGAATCTGATATTAAATTTAATGAAAAGGAAAGGCAGAAAAACACCCTGTTCTTTTGTAAGGCTACCTGAACACTAATATTACGCTAGCAGCAATACAACATGCATCAAAAGAATCAAGATTCAGAACAACCAGCTAAATGTGGCTATAGCAAAGCAAAGATGACTCAGCCCTAGAGAAAAATTGAGTCATTTGGAGGAAAAAGGAGTAATTGTGAGTGGAAAGAAAAGGGGCTCCTTGCCCCATCCACACACACACACACACACCCTCCCACAAGGTTTAGTGTGTGCAGGTGTGAGCATCATGAAAGATCTGGATGTTTTTTTCTATTCATGCTGGTGAAGGCCTTCGAGGAAACAGTTACTTGAATGACCTGATCCCTCTTGTACAACTTGTCATATTGCCTGAGTTTATGCTACTGAGTTCATCACACCACAGCAAAGCACTTTGCATTCTCTCCATTATATCACAAACACTAGATAAGCTGTATTATGTCTACAGCAAAGTAAGAGTTAACTACCCAGCAGAAACAGAGGGAGACGGAGAAAGAAGAGCCAGGAGGAGACAGAAGGAAGCTGCAAGCTTTGTTAACCAATTCCTAGCTTTAAATACTTCACTAGAAGTGAAACAGATTTTTTGTGTTAAAATACACTGCTTTTCAATATGCATCAGTGCTCATGGTCACAAAAAAGACTCCACTTGAACTCTAAACTATATATTCAGTATTGGGAAAAAAAAAAAACCTCCAGAAAATGTACGTGCAATCCCCCACCATTCCCACACCCCTCAGCACTGTGCTGCTGCACTCAGCACTTACTGCAGCAGCAATAAGCATTCCAGTAACAGCCAGCATTGTTTTATAGATATAGTACAGAAAGCTTATCTTGATCTCTACAAACGATGGGCCCAGTGGTACAACTCCACAACTGACAAGACTGAATTCACTAAGGAAAAAAAAAGTAATGTACTGCTTTTGTGAACCTCACTTGTCAACAAGATCTTTAAGAGTCACAGAAGAGAATATTCCATTGTGAACAAATAATTGCTGGGGCTGTCAAGCTGAGTTTCAAGAACTCTCCTTTCTTCTGCCTCCTACACCTCATGGAATTAGACTAAAAATACCAAGCAGAAGCACAAATAACTTTCTCACCAGAAAGCAAGTTTACATAAATTCCATACTAGGGACAACTGAGGAAGGTTGGCAACTATGCAAATCAAACTCACCTTGTCTATTACTTGGTTAAAAAAATGGAAATAGAAGAAGAGGGGGGGCATTTCTAACTGACCTCTCAAAATGATGAGTAATGCCCATAGAAACAAAGTACTTCAGTGAACTCTTCTACTGCGTATATCTTGCTTCAGTATTCAAAGGGTTTACACTTGTTGCTTACGAGATCTCCAGAACTCTGTAAATTTGTTAAATCTGTGTCAGAATTGTCAAAGATTTATCTTCCAAATGATAAATAAGAGGTCTGTGTGTACCCTACATTAACAAATGATGAAGAGGACCTCACAAAATGCCTGCTATGCACTTGTGTGTCTGTAAGCAACAGCTATAAATTATGGAATGCAAACTTAACTTAGTATGATATGAAGCCCCAACTTCAGAAGTAATGAACTGTAATGACACAGGCTAGGAAGCAGTCATTAATTTTAACCTAATTATAGAATAAGCTGTTTTTTTCAAGAACAAAAGCCCAAATTGCAAAGGCAATGAAAAAAGTCAGGTGTATACGTATTTCCTCAAAAATAGATTTATGAAGGGAGAAAACAACAGAGTTAGAATAAAATCTAAGTTAAGACTTCAAGGCACAAATACAGTTCTGATATTGTTCCAGTGATACCAACAACTGGCTACAATCACCTTATCAAAGTGTTGTGATTAACAAGATAGAAAGCTGCATAGTGGTCAAGTAAGAAGAAATGATAGCAGCTTGCCAGAGTATGGGTTCAGGAAGATATCATTTGTCGCTCTCAGCATTGCTATTGCAAAGCTGCTCTGCGATCAAAATCCTGATTGTAATCCATCAAACCCATAACCACAGTGAGTTGAATGGCTGAGCAACCGTGATGACACAGTTGGCTGCTGCTAGGAATACATGAAGCTGGTATCAGCGTGTACGCGTCTCCAGATGAAGGGAAAAGCAGCATGATTGCTGCTAATAACAATAACACAGGAATGACATCAAAAGAGATATTAAAAGCAAACCCAATTGTGTCACACTGATTTTTGAAGCAGAAATATTTGGCTTTCTTTTCACAGGTTAAACAACAGGTGTATGGGGCCCTGCACATCTCTTCAACTGGTATAGGCAGACAGATAAAGTCTTGTTCCCAGCCCATACTGAACAGTGTGACTTCTCATCACCGCTCCTGCCATTTCTTTGGCAGGAACTAGCCACCAGCAGCTACAGCCACAAGGTGATGTTCAGGACAAGAGTGCTGGGCAGAAGAACTGAAAACTGCTTTCATAAGCAGACAGTAAGAATACTGCTGTAGCGCAAAAGTGATTTTGCCTGGGGCCACTGCTAGCACTGTGGCTCCATCTCACCTATGAAACATGGTGTGTGAAAACTATCCAAAGTGTCCGTGCAAAAGCATCTGGCACTTTTGCCTCCACTCACCAAGCTCTAACCAAATGCTTCTTAGCTGAGCCCCAGCAGGGCCACTTCAGTAAGCCTTCAGTATGACAGAAATCCAAAACCAGCATTCCCCCTTCTTTGGTTTCTACTTTCTCTTCCCTTTGTTATCTTGATCCTTCATCTCCACTCCATTAGATTCTTACTCTAGTGCACCTTCTTTTTCCCCATCTAAATACAGTGGCTCTTCATCCTTCTTGTCTCTCTCCTACAGCCGTGGCTGCCTTTAATGGATCCTGCAGGAAATTAGGCCTAGTCTCCATTCTAATCAACTTCAGAGACTTACGCTTTTAATTAGACCTTTAACATTCCTCCTGTTTGCACAGACAGTGCATTCTAAAGTGGCCTTCCTAAGCACCATTGTGGTTTCAACTTCAGAGGAAAAATCACGGTATTCTAACAAGTGAAAACATTAGCAATCTATGATAAGCCATTATGATTTTATTTTCTCCAGCTGCAGCAGCAGATGTGTTAGTATATTTTTCCAGCTGAAAAAGTACCATGTGATTTTTTTATTCCACGAGGAGTAAAGGTCCATCAAGTCCCCTACTTGGACACAGCCTCTATGGGATTCTCAACATAATGTAAATTGCTGAATCTATAAGCAAGCCCTCTCCAAAAACCACAGTGGGCCTCTGACAGCCTTGCAAGCAAAGATTTAATGTGTTAATTGAGCAAATTATGCTCACTTCAATAGCCCCTTTGTGTTCAAGAAGAGCTCTGGTAGTTTAAAGCAGCACATAAGTGGTAAGTATTACTGGGTCACATTCTGAGGTTCAGGATCAGTTGTACTTAATGTTTATTCAGGCAAACTTCCACTGAAGTAGAGCACTGAATTTTAAAAGGAAAAGTACAAACCTCCAAATTTCATCCATTATTAATCATTTAAAGTATCAATTAAACATAACGTTCTCTGATGTTTTTTACTCTTAGCTGATTAAATATGACTTCAAATAAAAGACATTCAACTCTCACTTAAGGGGTGAGATTTATTGCCCGCCAGCTGCTCATATATAGTGAGTTTCTGTGAGGGTTCTCGAAACTATTTTTCATTACAGTTACAACTACTGCCAGTTCTTGTCTGTATTTCATAATAATTACAGTGATCACTCCAGAAATGAACTCTGAAAAAAACACACATGCTAAGAATGTTAACAGTGCACATACCAGCAGTATTTCTAAGATGTCAGAGAGACCCTTTTCCATCATACCAGACACGGTAATGCCATTATTTCACAGTGGTTCAGAGCAGTGGGAGATGTCTGATGGAGTGGTTCCTTTACTACATCACATCTCCTACATAATTTGTTTTATTAATGTATTTATTTCCCACTTGTTATTCAGAATAGATGAGCTTAAAGATAAACAAGGCACTAAAATGTTGAACCTATCTTGAACACTTTGTCCCCTGAAAATAATACAGATAGATCTATAGGTCAGTGGGTATATCAGTGCCACCAGGATTTCACCCTGTACCCTGGCAACTGGGCAGTTTGCCACACCAGGACTAAAGGTACAGTTTTCAGCCTTGTGGCTTATAGAAGTTATTTGTTTAGTAATGGCAAGCATGATACATACTTATTTATAGAATTTAAAGATGAAGAGTCGACTCCTGTCATCTGAGGAAGTGACATTTCAGCCAGAAGAGAGCACCTGAAGTTTTTAACATCAGTGTACAGCGTCAGATCACAGGTCCATCTCTCACACACAGTCACTGATGCTTAGGAAAGTGCAAGAGAGCAAACGTGCACCAATGCTTCTCCACCAAACTTTCCCAGTTTCCAGACATTTTCACCTTGATCTCCTCTTTCTCAGTGTTCAAGATCCTAACGTTTCAGGGTTTGAACACAGGAAGTGCCAAACCATAACTGAGTGTTTAACCTGATAAAAGCCACAACTCCCTAAGACCAAACAGTCACTGGGTAAAGGGCAGACCCCGTACCTGCGGCAGAACTGAAACATTACAGCCTGAGAGACAATTGGAGTAGAGAAAGTTGTTCTTTTTATTTTATTTTTTTTTTGTCTTGGCTGAGCTTACCCTGAGCTTGAGAGAGTTTGAAAGAAGGCAGGCCTGTGTTGCATTAAGTTCTCGGTGCTCAAGAAAGCCTTCTTACCAAACAGTGTATTATGGAGAAATATCAAGCTAGACTCTGCAGATCTTGCTCATTCTACTTCTGCAGACTTTAGAAGAACTTTAACAAGGCTTTATGCAGATTTTTCAGCCGAGGGTAAATAAACCACTCAGGGAAAAATTATTCTGTCCTATCCTTGGAGAGAAAACAACCCAACAACTTAGATCAAATATATCTCTGTGAAAGCAACTGACTTCAATAGGGGAGAATTTTATCCCCAGTTGCTGAAAACACGAAGTATTTAGTAATTAATGAAAACTTACCTGTTGCATTGTTGGAATGCAAGTTTTGAGGGACAAGAAGTCTGGGATTCAGAACTCCCTGCACACAGGAAAATACACATTTTTAAAAACACCACTAAAACAAATCAAAAACTATTGTCCTGAGCGTGACATAAATGAAGGGAAGAAACCACATTCCTATAATTATCTATATAAACCCAAATATGTGCATATAAAATAAAAGGGGGAAAAAAAGAAATTATGACTGTGTATCCAAAATTTAGGGAAAGAGCTGAATTTTGGCTTTCCTAACATAGTATTTCCTAGCATTTTGCAATGTACATATAAAATATGGTATTATTCCATTTTTCTCTCCCCTAAAATGCAACCTCAACATAGCACGTATGGTTCTAGCACACTTCTGCTACTTGGGCACTCAGAATGCTCCTTAGAAGGGACAGTATGCTGAACAGTACTCTGCAAACAGTCCAACTTAAAAAATCAAATACAGAGCAGCTTTCAGCAAGATCAGTTACCCAGAGATTTCAATGAAAGCAACATGTATCAGCATAAATTTCTTCCCATTTACCAGATCCTTCTCCAGACAATCTTTTGTTTGCTGTAACAAAAGCTGACAAATTTGTCATTTGCACAAACTAGAGAATTTCCTGTTTGTTGCATAGAAACATTGAATCATGCAAGGGCCCATTAGCTCTACTTGTCTGAAGCACTGGGAAACACATCAGAATAACTTAGCACAGCCTAAACAGGCTCAGGACAGTCTACCTCAAAATTTATGATGTATGCAAAATCAAAACTGGGAGACTGCCTCCAACCCATACCATCTTTTTAAAATAATTTGTTGATTTTTGACCTTGGTTCTCAGTACCACCACAATGGATAAAAATACTACTTTAGGAAAATCAGAAATAATATTTTCATTTGATCTGATGCTGTCAGGTGCTGGAAAAGGAAGAAAAATATACTGCAAAAGTCAAAATAAATTGTGAAAGGATATAAACATACTTAGCTGAACAACTACAAGAAACCCACAAAAGTATCCCTAAGCTGAGCATCCAAACAATTAGAAAAAGAAACAGGGAAATTAGAAAAACAGAAGTTTTATATTGTTCTTGTTCGAATAATAATTGTTAAGAATCAGCTTTTTCTAAGAGCAAAAACCAACTGGGATATCTTTGCCTATAGTGGTCCATTACAAATTAGGTTTGCACAAGAAGAGAACAGAGACCTCAGAGAGATAGGAGGCAGAATGGGCTCAGAACCGATCTGCTCTATCCTGGCAGGTGCCTGCCCAGCACCTGCGAGGGAAGTTCCTCAGCCTCCAGCTTTTCGGAGCTGGAATAATTAGAAGATCTTTTCTCATCCCAATCTTCCATTTTCCTTCCTGAACCTTAAGCTGATTTCCCCACATCTGGTAGACAAGGACAATTTATCACTGCACTGCTTAGAACTATTTTAACTTTTTATCCTCACTCAGCCTTTTTTTTTTCCTGACTAAAAAGTCCCCTTCTCCCCACTTATCTCATAAGCAGCATTTTCTTTGCTTTCATTATTATCTCAGCTTCTTGCAGGCTCAAGCTCTTTGTAGAGTTCTCACAAAAACTCGCGCTCTGCTTTGTACTTGAATACCCAAAGGAGAACATACACAAAGAGCTCCACAACATTAATTACACAGAAAAAGTATTTTACAGTGTAATATGTTTATATTAACTTGCCAGGCGACAACCTCACCATTGCCAAAAAATTCATGATCCCTCCACAATTGTTTTCCTGTCCCACAGTACTGGAAATTGGATTTGGGTAAGAACTTCATGAAGAACTTAGGGCTGTTCCGTAACGCAGCTTCCATACTTAAGACTGTACACTAAAGATTGTGCACAGATCAATAGCAGTTTTTAATTTTAAACATTTAAAAGTGACTGAAATGTTTCATTTTCTTTCATTTTCTTATAAAGATGATGAAAATTGGCAGATGTTTTCTCTCCAAGAGAAGTCGAGAGAGCAGCTCAAAAAAATCACAGGTGCCAAGGAAAGGAAAACATTAAAGTTTGCCTTTTTTTTTTTACAAATCCACTGAGTACAGGAAAGGTTAAAGGTGCAAACTGTATGACTAATTTCAATTCATGTAAAATGGGACACAAATCTTTTAAACCTAGAACTATGCAAAGAAAGTGAAAGGCAGAAAAGCTGCAGGGGAATCTGTAACTGACCTGAGAAAAAGGAATGAACCGTTTCTCCAAGAATGATGAAGACACCTGAAACTGGGCAAGGACAACCTGATGAAGCAGTAGGTATGAGTAGGTCAGTGCAACGCTGCTCCCACAAGAAAATAAGGGTTACAGAGATTCCTTGCTATTATAGAGTGAAATTGGTATCCAGTTGCTCAAACCACTAATCTGAAACAAATGCTGTGCAAAGATAACTGTGGATGTTGGCTGTCTATTTTTATAAAGACATGGAGAAACCAAAGGAATTAAGTGGCTTCCAGCCATAAAGAAGTATGACAGCAAAGGCAAAAGTTATTCACAAAAACCTAAAGAAAAACAGGAAGGATATCCAAACCACACAACGAAAAGAAGTCTAGAGCTAGATATTATACATGAAAACCTGATTAAAAAGACACACCTCGTCAGGCAGCAAACTAGAATGATGATGCAGAATAGCCACAGAACATAATAATGATGATCTTGACTTTTTAGTCCAGTGTGAGCATATCCTCCATGCCTCTAAGTCCATTATCTGGCAAGAGATGGGGTGGGGTCTAACTTAAAGGAGATCATTTGGAGATGCTGGACAGATAAGTAACCATAAGGGACAGAGATTTAAGAGATATTTGGAGACTGAATAAATCTAAGGGAAGTACAAATAACCTTTCTTACTGGCCCTAAATGAATAGCTTTGAAGCAGCTGAGAAGAGCTACCACATACATCAAGAGGGAGGCAAGCCAGACTGAGCATAACAGACTCTGTGCCTTTTCTCATTAGCACTTGGCTTTAATTGAGTTTACATGACCTTAAAAAAAAAAAAAAAATTAAAAAAAAAAATCAAACCACAGTGTTTACAACTACTCCTATGTGAGTCTTGCAACCGCTGCTCTAGGCAGATGGGAAACTCTGTCTTGTTTTTTCTTCACCTATTTCCAACAATCTTTTAACATCCAATACTTGGCAGTTCACTTCCTACTTCACCTACACATATGCCTATTATAAAACCTGAGAACATAAATCAACAAAAAACATTCTCAAGTGGTGTATCTAGTTCTACATATCCTCTGTAAAAGGAATAAACGTATCACTCACATAGATTGGAATTATGGGAATTCACAAATTCAAAAAGACTAATAAAATATCTCACCAACTATTCTCACATCACTGACATGCAATCAATAAAGTTCTTTATAATGACCCAGTTGAAGGAATAACACTTAGAACTGTGATAACAATATTGCATGGTTGAGAGCCGACAGAGATGCTTTATTTTGTGCTGAGAAGGAAGAAATAAGTGTTTATACATCAAACTATTTGACAACAGAAGGAGGAAGAAATATTTGACAACAGAAAGGGGAAGAAAGCAAGACAATACAGAAGATTTAAAGAAGGGAGGGATTTATATTAAACATTAATAAATCCTTTAAAGGATACAAGACAGAATTGTTTCACAGTTTTTCTGTCTATATACATGGCCTGCTCTGAAAATAATACCTCCTATTTTATTATGTTGGCCCACAACACCAGAGGTGGATGTTGGTGGCATGGCAGAGAGTACCTTTCTATTGATATTCCATTCAATTTTGTTGCCATGCAACAGAAGGCAGCAGAGGGGCAGGCTGACAAAATGGCATCTGACATGGAAGTGAAAATGAAGTGAAGGTGTGGAATTTAATTCCTCTACGTGGAAAAAATGGCACCCACTGACATTTATTGACACTTGCTGAACATTTATGACCCCGAACAGTGGATATGAGCACAGTGAGGCAGTGGGTAGTATGTTTCAGCAGTGGCAACAGCAAGTCACCTCCACTAGTGCCAAGCACAGTATGCAGGCTCCTGTTCATCACTGGCAAAAATGCAGAGCTAATGGCAGTGACTGTATTAGAAATAGAGTTTTGCAGATGAAAATTTGCTCTATCAAATAGCGTTATTGTGGTCTTTGTAGCTGTTGTGATTTCCATGGATATAAATAGGAAGCATTATTTTTGAAGTATCTATGCATTACTCTTGAAGAAATCCACGTGAAAAGAATCGATGCCTTAGATTCTATTCCAGCAAATGCCCTCAGACTGTAAATACAGGTCACACAGTCTTGGCCCCATGGGCCAGCCTCCAGCCGTGTGCTAATGCAGTAAATGGAGGCTGTTGTTTAGTTCTACAGTACATTAGAGAGCACATTTCCACGTTCAGATTGTAATTTGTCAACTCTTGAAGCAGAAACCAACTCTGCCATTTCTAGTATATTTAGCTAGCAGTTGTTTTTACTGGAGACCTAACACATGATACTTTTTCCTCAGATCCTCCAGGTATGGGATTCAGGACTGTAAATCCTAATCTTAAAAGCTTACATAACAGTTCTAATGACTCCTAAATCTCATTAATCTCTGGGACTTAAACTGATAGAACTCAATGCTAAAGGACACTATGTAGTATACAGAAGCATACTTATATTCATGGCTGAAAATGTGTGTTTTTCTCGTTTATAGTTCTGAGTTTAAACAAAAAGTTAAATACCTGAAAATTATAAGATTTAATATTCCAGTAGCATGCAGAATGTCTTGGCTTAAGAAAAAATTCTGATGCTACCCCGGGCTCTGTGCAAAGCAGTAGGAAACTGCATTTGCAACTCAGCCATACTTTCTTCTGGCACACTGGATTTCAATCTTATTTCCAAAGAAGTTAAAACTACAAAGCTGAGCAGACTGCATACATCCCAGCCCTATCCTGATCTTCCCTCTTCAAGGCATTATTTCCGCAGAAAAGCAGAATTAAATATACCAGCAAAATCTAATTGATCTATTCCTCAAACATAATTTTAATGCAATAGAATTTCTCACTGAATTAGCGACTGTCTTCTAAGCAGCCTAATGGGCACAAGGAAATCATCCCTATCAACACTAAACACAGTAGAGCTTGTGTTGATGTACTTTCTAGGGAAACAAGGTTTGCTTCATCTGTGACGTTACCTGACAGAGTTGGCACGATACTATCCATTTATAACATGTGGTGGAGTTTTTACTATTTTCTTTTACTTTCAAAGGTTCCTCTGTCACCTGATTTGACTTGCAAAGTTATATTCTGAATAGATCGAACTGAGAACAGATCTGATTAGAAGAGGATGCAGAACTGGGTAAGCATTGGTCTGCTTCTGGGAGGTGGTGAGCAATTCCCCTCGTCTTGCTTTTTAATCCTCTTCACTTACTAAGCTGTTTTTATCTCAACCCAAATTTTCTTGAATTTCTTCTTCTAATTTTCACCACCCATCCCACTGAGGTTAAAAGGACTGAGTGAATGAGCAGCTGTGTGGGTGTTTGGCCATCAGCTGGGTGAACAAACCTGTATGTGTGCTTGTTTTTCTATCACATCCTAGAAAGGGCAAAGGCAAGAGATTTAACATATTCTCCCAAAGATCCTCTGTTAATTCTTATTATCAATTCATGAAGTCTGGTATTGTTCAACTTGATTTTTTCTTCTTCTTATTTAGAAGTTAGAGCGTAATTGCTTGCATTATGCCACTTGTGACACTATGAGCTGATTAGCTCGTAAAGCTCTGATTAGTTCGAGGTTATCTTAGTGGAAGGCTATGAATTAAAGAGGGATATTCAGACATGCCTACAGAGATACTTAAATAGAATTCATTTTGTTCATGCCATATTATTATTCAAAATGAAAATATTTCATAATTGCAATCTACTGCAGATAGAACACAGCACTATGAATGATTATGGAAATCATCTCCTAGCCAAACAACTCACATCATTTAATAGCCAGAACATCTTTCTGTTTTGTGGTACAGTAACCTGCTTCTCACAAAGCGTCACTCCTGCATGCTCCTCTTCTAGAGATGGATTCACTACTTATCTGGCTGATGGGAGAACACCGTCATGTTTGTGAACATCTAGCAGAACTGCTTACCACTGGATTACCTTACAGCACACACATCCCTCCCGCCGACACAGACCTAACACAGAACAGGAAAGTTTTGCATTTTATAGCTGACTGCTTTGCTCACTGAACCACTGGTGTTCACAGGCCAGGACACAGTGGGTGGGCTAACTACAGCTCAGTGGGATATTTTCTACAAGTCCTATTGGATAATGAAATTTTAAAACAGCAAATGTAATTGTAACAAATGTTTTTAGTTCCTTTTCAGCAAAGTTAATACTCTACTACAGTGCTTCAGTTTGTAGTTGCAGCTTGCTTGTTTTGACTGTTGCAACACCGCATGTAACGTGCAGGAGGGAAAAGAGCACTGAAAATTACTTTCAGCCTAACATCACAAAGTCACTCAAGATTAGCTTTAAGTGATCAAAGTGATTAAAAAAATGATTTAAAAACATTAGTTGTTCAAAGTACAGCTTGGGCAAGAGAAACTAAAGCATACCTTAAAATTCCTCAGTGAAAAAATCACTAGCAAGGAATCAGCTTTGGAAGAAGTCAGAGGGCTCTTCACCTGGCTGAGATCTGCTGTTGCAAGATCCAATATCACTGCCAGTCCATTGCAGCAAAGAGCTCTGAATCCCATTCGAAAAGATTCAGGGCTGCTTATACAATGCTCCCTTTTATGGCAGAATCAGAAGTACTTTGACTGCAGAATAAACAATCCATTGCTCAATGTTTTCCCAGTAACTCCTGCTTCAGATATCAGATTCAGATTCACAGGCTGCAGTTCATAACAGTGTAAGACACTTGGCATTTCTTGTAGAATTGCTTGTTACTTCGTGTGAATGAGAAGTGACTTTACACCATGCCTAATCCTGGTAGAACAGGAATACGCAGTACCCGAATGATGCTCTGCCATACAGTTCCCACAGCACAGACTGAAATTATTCATAGTACAACATCAGGGCACAAAAACCACTGAGGAAGAACGAGAGCTCACTGGGGAAAGTCTGTCTCCTCAGTAAGCCAAACATTGTCCTATTATAATTCTTGAAATGAATAAAAGTTGATGTCAGAGCAAGGTCCAGACGGCTGTGTAAAACATCAAGCTGTGCCTCTGATGTACTACTGGGCAGATCCTACAGTGTGACAATAGATTTTGTCCGTATGGAAAAGCATGTAGGAAACCACGTGACCTCTATGGTGTAAACCAGTCAGGAGAATGAGCCACCCTGAACTTAAGAAATTACACAGACTAAGAGAGTCCAGCTCTGTTTTCTGGAAAGCCATTTTTAAAAATTTTTTCTTTGACAGAAACCAGTGAGTCACAGAAAGAAGATCTTGAGAACTGGATTCATAGAGATACCCAAAAACGATCAGAATCTACTGCTAAACCCCCATTTCAGCAGTGATCTATTTCTTCCTGCTTAAACAATTCCTTTTACAGAATGTGATCCAACCATTTTTTAACAAGTCTACTCCCCTTCATAAACTGACTTACATGCTTTTGCTATTAGTATTAAGATAAGAGGATACAATATCCTGAGTTCCAGCTTGTGCAAAAGAATGTAGTCCCACTGACCGTTGTAGAACACAGTGAATTTACAGCAGCTGAACAACTCGCTGTCCTCCAGCAGAACTGTTGCAAAGGTCACAGCCACATGTATCCAGTACGACATCAAACAATGCTTGCACTTCTATTTTAAGCTGGATTCCTCATAGCTGCTAAATTCACACTAATTCACATTGCATTGTAGCACAGATTACTACGAACCCAGTGCCTATGTGCACACACAGCGTAACCTTGGTTACGTTACTACTAAATCAGACTTTCAACTGGGCCTAAGATTAGTTGCAAACTGAAGTTGAAAAACATGCCATGAAACAGCTGGTTTACATTTACAGAACTCCGATTTGTTTTAGCAGTCTTTTCCAACTATAGCTCACAATGTAGACTAGAAACAATACACTTCTAAGCTGCTCTCCATCCACTATTTATTATTTTTCCATCAACAGTATCTTCTTTAAATTTAACAGCCAGCAAATTATCTTCAGAATTGCCTTACTTTCTAAACACACGAATGGCACTTCTCCTATGGAAAACATTTAGTAATTTCAAAGGACAACATAGCATTATGGATTTAGAATTTAACACGTAATCTTCCTCCCTCCCCCATATGAGTAATCCAATGAGATCAGTTTGCAGCTCTGCTGGAAAAATCTACTACTCCATGAGAAACTCAGTACAAAAACCAGTGTGCTGATCCTTTATAAACTTAAGTTTGTTTGTGTGTGCTGATCCTTTATAAACTTAAGTTTGGGGTCTGATACTAATCACGATTTTGAATTCAGTGGACTCTGGATGACCACTTTGTTTAGTCTTCTACTGACTTAAAGTTATTCCCTATTTCACATGAAATCTTTGCCACTAACTACAGCCAAACAGAAACGAATGGATTTCTTTCACAGCACTATGCTGCACAGAGTTGTGGAAGATGTTTTATGGAGTAATGCAATCACATGATAACCATTCAGGCATAATAAGTCAGACTCTCTGTCAGCACAGTTAGCCCTGTTTCAAAGTAGAAATTCCTCCTATTTTCTTATATGCTCAAATGGATTCCTGCTAAATGCCTTCTGTTTTCACTTCCCTAAATGGAAAAATATTTTTCTTGCTATACTCAGTGACATAATATTCACAGCAGAGTGAGTGAAGTGCTTTGTTTTTTATTGTATTTTTTCAAAGAAAAGTCCTTAGTTTAAAATCCTTCTTGAAATACCTTAAAAAACACCAAAACAACACTTCTGCCAAGCCCAGCAACGGGAGGAGAACAAAAGTTTTGGGGATGAAGAAACGAAGGTTTAGGCTCAATGGTCCTAGTTTTCCAGTGAATTCCCTTCTGGCCAGAGAGGTAGCCAACAGCTCTGAAGGAGCCTCAATCTATTTTACTTCATCATGAGGAATTCTGTGTGATGGACAAATTAAAACAAACACTCAAGGGAAAAGTACAGTATATAAATCAGTAGAAGGACAAAACCAGCAAGTATCCTACAGAGCTGTACAGCACAGAGCAGTGGAAGCAGCTATGATGGAAAGTATTATCCATGGAATTCAATATTCCAGCCTTGGTATGCTAAAGGGCTCTTTGTCCTTCAGCAAGTTTTGAGGGTTATCTGAAGAATACATTATTCTCTGGTATTTTTAAGAATCCTGTACAAGTTTACCATGTAATACTCGTACAGGGAAGCACTTGCAAATACAGCCCCATAGCTTCAAAGAACACACTAAGCCCCCCAGTTAATAGAGATATAGTAGGCTGGACAGAATTTTGTAAAAAATTCATATTACTGCCAGAGGAAATGATCCTAGTGAAATGCATTCTCAGTTCCGTGGGTAATTCTTGCATGCTTCTGTGGTCATCATTACACTCATATTTACTTGCAACAGCACCCGTGCACCTAGCTTACCTCAGTATATACCTTCCATGAGCCTAGGAAATCCAGAAAGGGGAAGTTAAGTACTGACCTGTACTCCTATTTGATCCCATAACTCTTCTTTCATATACTAAAAAAGAAATCCCACCAATCTGAGGGTAAAACAAGAAGAGTTCACACAAAGATCCTGTGATGTAAGCAACAAGGTCTGCATGTGCAGATAATTTGTGAATCACCAGAAGAGAAGCCAGACATTTTGGAAACCTTCACAAAACCCACGTGTACCGGGGTTGCATGGTTCGTGTCCCCTGGGCATTACATAATGCACAGAGTAAACCACTGCTACGATGCAGGGTGAGGTTCCTGTACCTCACCCCCAAAATTTTTGTTGAAAGCAGGGAAAGATCATGACAGTATTTTCTTACCACGATATTTTCCATTTTAATCCATGCTACTCTGTTACAGAGTTGCATGGCTAATTTCCTCTGCTCCATATCTGCTCAGTCTTATCCACAACCCGATGCTTTTCTGCAGTTCCACTCATATCCTGCAATTTAACCTAAAAGCTACAGCAAGCACACTGCACATTTCTACAGAAAAGAAACCTCTGCCAGGTCCCTGGAACCACAGTCGCCAAATTACTTGACAGTCCTGGAGCAGGATAGCTGGAAATGTTTTATGCTCCTCAGCCTTAGCAACAGAGCTGTCATCACCAGACCTCAGAAAACACCGGTGTGATTCACTCTAATTTGAACACCATGCCTCCTCTGGCAGGAAGACACAAAGCCCATTCAGCACCATCCTGAAATTTTCTTCCATAAAGGCTGCTTAACCATCAAGACTCTCTGACCTATTTTCTCCTAGAATCACCGTCTAAGCAGGGCTTCACAAAGGCACTGCTGCCCAATTTAGAAATGCTGGGCCTATGTGCGCTCCAGTTACACCGTATCGGGATCTCCCATCAGTACCATTTGCCCCAGGGCTTCAGATTTATGAATTCACCATACCTTGGCTGGGCAGAACCTTCCGTTTACTTGCTTTATGCTATGATGTAAAAAGATTTACTTATTCTCAACCTGAGCTTTTTCCCTCCTTTCTTCTTGTACACTCAACTTCTGAAGCAATGCATGTTGATCTGTTTTCACTTACTTAAAAGAAGTGTCATACAGTACGGAATCAGAGCGGTTATGGTTTACATCTGTGAACATATGTGACTACATTCTTTCACTTTAAGTAAACAGCGACCGGCAGTATAGTTCATGACCTTCTGGAAAAACAAAGTCACCACTGGAAAAAATTAGCTAGTAGATAGCTTCATGTGATTGTGGCTACAATTCATTATGTCAACGATGGAAAAAAAATTAACAAAAAAAAAAAAAAAAAGAAGAGCAGCTTGTCAGACCCTGCTGAGAAGAACACACAGGAATTATCACACAATCACATATACTCTTAAAATAATCTGAGTCTAGCTTCTGGGAGTGGAGGTGGTAAACTCAAATTAAGGCTGAATCCCTGGACAAAGTCCATTTCTGATGTAACTCACCAGAGGCCGCTGAAACTGCCAGAGCCCGCTCAGCAGAAGAGCGGCACACGTGGAAGACGTGGCTCCGTGGCCAGTCAGCACATGCAGTCAGCACACAGCACAGAGAAATCCAGCACTGAAATGAAGACAAGCTTTTGAGAGGCTGCATACTGAAAAATTTCCAACTATCTTCCAATCTCTGCCAGATACTAGGGCGCTGGCTGAGCAGAATAAGGCATAGCTGCAGATAGTGGCTGGCAACCTCCTATCTAAATTTCTTTTGTAGTAGGATTTAGGGCTTCGACAGAACTTCTACTGCCTTGCTTAGAGTTACAATTTTGCCCATCAAGATAGAATAAAAGATTTACCAAATATCAACTCCACCATCTTCTCTGAATACCTTCTTTCAAATATTTCTGAAATGGAAGGAAAACTCAGACCAGTATCTGTTTAAAGAACTCTTCTCCACATCTATGAATTTTCTAGGAAGGAAACCAGAGAGCTGGGTAAATTCTCAGGAGTTCCAAAGTGAAGGATATGTCCTTGCCAAGGTTCTACTTGCCTACACAAGGAAGCTGCACAGAAATAGAGAACAAATGATCAAGTTTCCTTCGAAACTACAGACAAACCCCCTCCCTGAGGTACACAGGATCAGCCCTTTTGGGAAGAAGCACATTGAAAAT